CGTATTGAGTATGGTGGAACAGATCTCTGTCGTGTTTCCTCAACAAGGACCGTGAACCAACTGCAGTAGGATCATGTTGGGATTTGATGTGGAGGCCGACAGTAGTGATGTGGATCTTCCTATACTTTAAGAAATGCAAGAACGCTAATATTAATTTTTATTAAACCACAGAAATTAATAGCTAACTTAAACCATGGCTAGCCCACAGTATTTAATAGACGGTCTACACTTCAGCTTTCTAAATTCTTCTGATTTTAGTAGGAGATATGAAGTGCTTACTGTGTCAGTTTCTTGTTGAACCAGCCCAACTCAGGAGTGTGGTGTAAAAGACAAAGTAATTCCTTCTTAATTAAGAGAGTTTGCTGTACATTGAAGTAATTTCTGCAGCCTTCTGAAACATTACAGTGCACTTAAATATGTGCTGGGTATTGGTAAAGATACTGCTGTTCTCATAGTAGTGCCATAAAGAACAACTAACAGATTTTAAACAGCTTTACAACATCCTTCTGTGTGTATATTGTGTGAAGTCACAATCTTTAGAAATAATTGTTTAACAGTGAGGGTGGTCAAACACTGGCACAGGTTGCCCAGAGAGGGTGTGAAGTCTCCATGGAGATACTCAGAACCTGTCTGACAGTCCTGGACAGACTGCTCTAGCTGACCCTGCTTAAGCAGGAGGTTGGACTTAGGTGATCTCGAGAGATCTCTTCCAACCTCACTGATTCTGTCTTTCTGTAAATGGAGGCCAACTGTGTGGGCTAGTTTTATTTGTTTTCCCTTTAAATAAAGAGTTGAATTCCTCTGGGGAGTTAGGAGTGTTTTTAAAGGACACATGCAAGTGTTGGTTAAGATTGTTTTCACTGAGATTCTCCCTCAAAATAGGGTTCCTTTCTGAGAACTGGCAGTTTTGAAAGCGCTTCATTATGCAACAGATCCAGTCCTTTATGTATTCAAATTCGCTTATATTAGTTACGAAAGCAGAACAAGTTTTCTATCTTTTGAGTCCATCACATGGAAGAAAGATATATTCTGTTGAAGATGAATAATCAGGAGATCAAAGTGCTTTTGTTCTGTCCAAATCTGGGGAAGAAGCCACCCATGGAGCCTTTAAATGGTGGACTAACCTGTGTGTAACTGAGGATATAACAGGAGAAGGCAAATGGAAAACAACCTATGTGTGCTGGGCTCTGTGGTGCATTAGGTGTGGCCTGTGAGATGTAAACAAAGCAGGTTGAATTTAGAAACCACAATTGTAACTTTTAGGAAAGTTTTTGGAATAGAAATAGAGTAACATAATTTAAAGGACAAATAGTTTTATATGAAGTTATTGTTGGGAATAACAGACTTTCTGAAATGTATTGGCAAAATTTGTTAGTCTAATTTGTTCTAATTTTTAAATCTTTGAGAATATTAAGTAACTTACCTTTCACACTGTAAGGTAATGAAATATAAGGGAAGCTCAAACATTAATCGAAGCTGATAATCCACTGAGCAGGGGAAGAAATTCAATTTACAGCAGAGAGATAATTTTTTTTATTTAATGCTTTAAATACATGCTGTATCAAAATGTTACTGCTGTCTGGTAGAGCAGAGGATGGGGCTAAAACTATTAAAGGAAATGCAGTATTTTAGTGTTCTAAAGCAGTGAAGTCATCAAAGGGCTGCTACTTACTACCAGTGACAACTTTGACTGTTGGCTTTATTCATGAGATAATATATGTAGCACAATGCAGTGTGTAAAATGTGTTTTTAATAGTTATAAATCACCCATGGAGGTATGTAAAACAGAAGATAAGTAGCTAGCATTAGAAATTCCTAAAACCCACACATGGTCTTATACGGCATAGATGAGTAAAAGTCTTCATGCGGATTTTGTGTTGAGAAAAAGATGTAAGATCTTGAACTAGGGGCAGAGGTTTGCTTTTAAAAATAATATGATCTGCCCTGCGGGGGACTGTATGCTCTTATCAGTGCATGGAGTGCACAGCAGCAGCAGAGATAGCTGAGATTGTCTGAAGGGCAAGCAAACTGCAAGGGGTTCTTTAAAATGAGAATTGTGAGAGAGGGAAAAGCATGTTCAGGCTTCTCTGTGCTGCAGTTGGAGACAGGGATGATCCGACAAGCTTGGTAGTACCACGTGAGTAAATGGCATGGAGAAATGCAGAAAAATAAGGAGGAAGGCTATTTTTAATATGCAGCTCTAGGAGAGAGGTGGAGGGCCATTGTAGCGTGGCAATGTTACTGTGCTGCTCCCACAGACTTAATTGCTGGTGGGAATCTTCCCTTCTCACCTCTTTATCACTAAATGTGAGGGTCTGGTAGAAAATGTGTTTTGACTTCCATTGAGTTGATAGCCTCTAGAACAAAAATGTTTTGGAGTTGTTTTCTCATTTTTTTTATATCATGCTATTGATTCTAATTTCTCATTCCTGTTACTGCATTGTTTTAACTCGCATTATTTCTGTTCATCTTGTGGCATACCATGCTGCTTTCTTTTTCTGTTAACTTTCTGTGAAGCTTGAGCTTTCTGTGATGTGTCTTCTGATGTAGTTCCCAATCAAGATTTACCCTTCTTGTTGGGGCTAAATATCTTGGGTTTGGAATCACAAGTGCTACCAGGATGAAGTATTAGGAGTTATGCATGGTTGAGTGTCAAATTGTTTACAGACATCCTCATTCTCTGACTTTTCTTTTGCTGTGTTTGCCATTACATTTTGCCTCTTCTCGTGTCCTTATCTGCCTCTTGCCTGATGCTTCCTTTATCAGCTGTATTGCTGTTCCTTTCTGGTATTTCATGAACAGCACTGGCAGTTTAGGAAGAGCAAATCATATGACTTAATTTTTTCCACTGCTTGGAAAAAAACATTGTCCAGGAAGAACAGCACAGAAAGGACAGTTGAAATTCTCTGGCTGCTTAGAAAGGAAAGCTACAGGGAGGCGGTCTCCTAAATACATCTTTCTATGTAGTCTCCTGCAAGACAAAAGCAGTTGTACTGTTTCTGCTAATGCTACATTATTCTGGGGTAGGAAGCCTTGCTACAGTTGGTTTTGATCACTTCTTGTGGGGGGCTGCACAATATGTCTTGGGCTTCATTAGTATGATAACTCTGGTTGTATAATCTGTGTTATGGATTTAATGTGCTGTGGGTGCTGATACACCTGACTTTGTCCAGCAGAAGGCATCTTGTGTATGGCTGAGCCACCGTGGAACTGGAGCCAGTAAAGTCTATTTTCATTTCACTGCTGTTCCTCTCAGATATGTCTGTTTGGGTTTAGGGGAGCAAGTTTGTCATGGGTGGCCATGTCAATATTGTGCCCCTTGATGCATCCTGCACTGCTGATGGTCTTAGATTCTTGTCTGGGATGAAAGTTGGTTATATTTGCATGCATTTAATTCTTGTAGTGCTTTTAGCCCTAGACCTGACTTCTAACATCTAAGAAGCATGGATATAGGGGCTGACAGAGCACAAGAAGAGGCAAAAAACAACATAAGAAGTAAGCTTTAACAAGTCATACAGTTTCTAAGTAAATCAAAACCTCAGGAAAGTCAAGATTGTGGTGTATTTTTTCATGGGGTATGGGAGGATGGGCGTTATCCTGTACCCTGTCTTCCGTGGAAAAATAACACCTGTCCTGTTTAACATTTATCAGTGACCTGGAGGAGGCAATGGAGTGTGCCCAGATTGCAGATGACACCCAGCTGGGCAACAGCCAATATGCTGGAGGCTGCTCATTCAGAGGGATGTAGATAGACTGGTGGATTGGGCCAACAGGAACCCTATGAAATTTCACAAGGAGAGACACAAGGCCCTGTTAGGAGTTAATGAATTCAGTTGCCCTTTCCTCTCTGTTACCCTGTGCTTGTTATTCCCCAATCTTCCTTGCTGCCTTCCTCTAAATATTATGCATGTCTTGTACAGTCCTACATGTTCTTCCCTACCATTCCATAGAGAGTCTCGTAGCCCTGTAGGCATTGGTCCCCCTCAGTGAGAAATGTGATCTGGGCTATGTGGACCCTCACCTCACTGGAGGTTTTCAAGACTCAACTGGATAAAGCCTTGAGCAGCCTAGTTCTACCTCATAGCTGACCCTGTTTTCAGCAAGAAGTTAAACCAAAGACCTCCCAAGGTCCTTTCTAAACTTGACTTATCCAGTTATTATAAAAGTTGCTGCTGAACTGTAAATAAATTCTGAGTTGTTTGCTCTGTTTGCATCATAACTTGCTAATAATAATCTGTATTTTTAAATCAGCATATTGCAGGTTTTTTCTGCTTGTTGATAATACTTGTTATTTTGTAGACTAGCAAAATACTTCAATTTCTAGATCACTCCTTTCTCAAATCTAAAAATTTTTAGTATTTGCCATTATTAGTGAATTCCTTGTTCTGTGTCAATGGTTTGGGTTTTTTTGAAATAGAGTGCTATTGTTAGAAGCTAGAGTTGATCTCTATACAGCACTAGAAGCTAGAGTTGGTCTCTATACTGTCTCTTAAAAGTGATTTTGCTAAATCAGTGTTAGAAATGGCAGTCAACATTGTGCAGAAATTTTAAACAGTTACACTATTTTGCAAAGATGTTACAAATGATAGTTAAAATGTGCCGATATGGCATGCTATTGTGTGCTTTTTTTTTTTTGTTTGGGGTTTTTGTTTTTGGTTTGGTTTTGGGTTTTGGTTTGTTTTTTTTTTTTTAGAGAATCAAATGTGTATTAGTGGTATTTCAGGTATGAGCTGTAAGGCAAATTCCATTCTAGGGCTTCTAAACCAGGACTTCTTACATTTTAACCACATGATTAAATTCATATGTTTACTGTGTGTCATGAATGAGCACAGTACAGTGAAAATAGAAATACTGTTTTTGTAAGTTAACTTTTAAAAATTACTCAAGATGGTCTGCTTTCATAGCTGACCGTCCTTTTTTGAAAGGGGGGGAAATTCCTTATTGAACAATCTTTGTGTTCCTAAATAGACATTGGCTACCTTACACACTAGAACTTCAAAATGACAGTGGTCTGCATCCTGGACCAGTGTCAGAGCAATACTGTTGGACTAAGATCGGTGATGTTGTAAGCCAAGTACTTGGAAAACATCCAGGTCTGGATACCAGTGTTGTGTATCAGTGGGAATCTGGAATGAGGAGTCTTGGGGACACGCGTACTTTCACAATTATGTTCCCTTGCTGACACATGAGGGCTGTGGCTATGCTATGGGTTAGGTGCAGTAGCACAAAACATTCACATAGGTAAGATTTCCAGCACCAAGACAGTTTGTGCATACTTTGGCTACTATTTAGCCAGAGTTCTGTTGGTTCAGTGCATAAAAAGCTTTTTTTTTTTTCTCATTAAAAGTTGATGGTGATTCTTAGATGACTTTGTTTTTCAAGGGTCGCAACTGCGTTGGCTTACAACCTTGAAACATGTAACGTGCAAGTTTGTGAGTTTGCATGCTTTTATGGTTAGCATGGCATAAGCAGCACACAGGAAGCTCAGAATGACAGATGTAAATGGATGCGAATTTGCTCCTTCCAGGATGTACAGAATCACAGTACTAGATTATTCTGTTCGTATGTTCACGTAAATCAGTATGTCTGTAGCGTAACATCCTCAGAACAGCTGTTTCTTCTGTCAAAACTAATGCAGCTCAAAATTTCATCATGATGTTTACAGTTTCATCAACAAACTTTTTAGTAATCACTCCCATCATAATCTAAGTGAGTAATATATCCTCATCTAATGTCATTACTGGTTCATTGTGACAAAGGATTAAAGCAATCATTTTATTCTTCAATAGCTGTGTATACCACTGTTCTTCAATAGTTATATATAATTGTTCTTCAATAGCTGTATGCTGTACAAGCTTTTACTTGAAATTCCAAAAGAACAGAATAGTGTAAGATCCATGTTTTGGTATTTATCAGCACTGTAATAGTTACTTAATGGGGTTTTTTTATAAGAGCACAGAGATTGTTTCCTGCCATATTGGGTACTTGAAGCATAGGGTAAAAGAGCAGCAGTATCTTTTTGTTTTTAAGTTATTCTCTTGATAAAGTTCTAGCTTTCTGCCCTCTGCTGAGCACAGGCTCCGCATCCAGCTACCCTAACATGCAGGGGTGCAGACTGACTTTGAAGATGTATGTTGTTTTCTGAGATATCCCTTTTCAGATTTTGTTTTGATGGAAACCATAAGATACTTCAGAGTTTCATGGCAGTAGGAATAAGTCCACAGGCTTTTTTTCAGAGGGGAAAGTGTCAGATTTTTATTTATCTTGGGAAAAGTAAGGATTTGCTTTAGAGAGACAGCCCATTCTATGTATTTCTGATCTTGTTTCCATCACTGTGCTTGGAGCATTTTAAGGCTGGGTGGGAATCATTGTGGTAATCATCATCTTCTGTTAAAGGTCTCTCTTTTTTTTTTTTTTTTTTTTTTGTCCTGTTTCAGATTTAGCTTTGGAATCTAATCCATCTGATCATCCCAGAGCAAGCACAATTTTCCTGAGCAAGTCTCAAACAGATGGTAAGCCAAGGTTTTTTCCAATTTAAAAAAAGGCAGGAGAAAAACTGGAAAAATAACTGCCTATTTAAGTTATACAGCTCAAAAACACTTAAACTGCTTTAATTCTTTCAAAGCATAGGGATTAATAATTTGTGTGTTCACAGAGAAGTATGTTCATAGGCTGTTTTATTTAACGTTTAAAATCACTTGTTTTTCTAAACAAGTATCAGGAGATTTCAGAGTCTGGATCCTAGCAGTCTGAAGGAACAAGGCTTTCTTCACTAGTGTAATTCAAGCTTCAGGCAGTGGTGGGTTTTTTTTAATGACGAAGGACTGTTTTAAAAATTGCTTTAAATTGAAAAAAAAAATTAAAGATAGTTTTCTATAAGGAATAATAAGCCTAAACCATCAGTCAATATCAGTTGCTTTTGAATTTGCTGACTAAACTGAATAGTTTCAGCACCATAATTATTCTTGAATCCTGGTTTTAGTTACATGGAATGTATTAGGATTTTCAGTTTCTTTGCAGATCCCTTCTTTACTTTATTAAGTCAGTTTTGATGAATTACTATGGTTTGTGTATTCCAAAATGCCATTAAAAAATGGAGGCATTTCCATATTGCACAAATAAAAAAGAATTATGACAATAGTAAATTTTGAAGTTGCAACTAAAAAGTTTGATATTCTTTTACAAATGGTTCTGTTCCTTTTATAGTTGGTTCTCGATTGAAGCACTGTTTTTTCTAAGGCAGTGTTGCACTTGAGATTGGATGTGCTGATGGAAAGCTGCAGTATGTCTTCTACCTTGGCATAGCTTTGCCACAGAAAAATAGAATTATTTTGACAGGTCTGTCAGTTGTAGTCCTGCTATTCAGAGTCTTGTGGCAAGTAGTAGAGTTGTCAGTTTGCAATGCTCAGATAACCAGTGAGCAGTGGAAACAAGCACTAGCACGGGTTCTCCAGAAGAGATGATACCAAGGAAATGTAGGCCTCTTTCCTCGAGGCCTCAAAGGTCAGTCTTCAAACAGACAGGATCTGACCGGCACACATCAGACACCTCTTAAATGAGCACTACTTAAGTTGCAATTAGCAAGTTGATGTAGTTCTTGAACACTGTATGCAGCTTTACTGTGCAGCCTTTTCAGCCTTGCTGCAAATAAGGTGCAGACTACATGAATGTCCTTGCTGGGGGCTAGTATTGCTTTTAAACATGATTCCGTATTGTGTGTTGAAATGTATACACTTGTGTTCATGTAGAAAAATTGTCTGCGACGTGAGAAAAACTATTAAACTATTCTCTGCAGTTTATATTATTTTGAATTGATTTTTACAGGGTACTTTTATGGACAAGTCAGGCAGAAGAATTTATTTTCTCCTTTCTTTAGTTAATCTTCCATAGAACTAGTTAATATCTGTAAATTGTTTCTCACTGAGATGTTACCAGGATTATGAGTTTTGATTTATGCAAAAAGACCAAAAAAAATTTGGATACTCTCTTCCAGTTGTTAATTTTTCAAAATCTGTGAGAGAATGTGTCCTGCTAACAAGTGGTAGTGATTTGAGGTCAAAACTTTGGAGAAGTCACCTGTCCAGGTTGGTGACATTTGCACAGCTTTCTGCATGTACATAACTCTCAGCTCTCCTTTAACAGCACTGTTTTACTGCTACTGTTATAGCTGGAAGTTTAACCTTACAGTCTTTTTGAAAGGCTGACACAGTTTAAAATGATCAGATAACATGGTTGCAGTTATATGATCAATAGGCATAGCTTTTGCCAGCATCTTCTGTATAGTGAAATACCTCTCTATCTTCTGCTGTCTAATAGGAGGAAAGAGGACACATGTATATAATGCTGGGCACCTCGCTTCTTCCATGTGTGTCTTTGGCAGGTTCAGTGTGTGACATTTTTACTTCTGATTGCTAAGTGGTCGCTCTTGGATGTTGGACATAGTTTATGTGAACTATCTGAAATCATCCAGTTTTTCATGATGCACAGCATCTTTTCAAAGACATTTTTCCCTTCGTGCGATTTGTAGAAGCAATTCCAAAATATACAGGTGGATAGTTGGAAGTAGTATGTGGTTTACTAGCTTGATGAAAGTCAATGTTTTCTCCTCAAACTAATTTTCCAGATACCTAAAGTCAGATTTGAAACTTACAATATTCATGTACTTCAGAAGACTAGGTTAATGGAATGACTCTATTGAATGTAAATTAGGATTGTATTTTAGAAACCTTTCCATTCACATTCTTTCTCCCTCTTTGTAGTGCGAGAGAAGAGGAAGAGTAACCACATCAATCATGTAAGTACAATAAATTCTTAGTGTACTATATAGATAATATTAGCATATTGGGACAAAGAAAAATTAAAGAAGCAGCTGTAGTAGTTCTAGATATAGAGTCCTGCACATGTTCCACATCCTCCTTAGCAAGATAAAACTGAATTATCTTTGCATCTTTAAAAAATAAGCAAACAGGCACAGTATCACAGAGCATAGAATGGCTGATCTCAAAAGCATAAGAATGGATACTTTTTTTTTGTTGTTGTATCATTCTTGAGCATTTCAGGACAGTAAAGAAGAAAATACAGGTCAAATCGCCTACATTGTATTTTTAAAACCAGAAATAAAACCGGATTAATTTCTCAGCTGAGATAGCAGGTCTTAAATGACTTGCTGTTTGGGCATCACTACAGGACTTAGGTAAGAAATGTATCCAGCATGAAAAGAGAATGATGAACAGACATTACCATCAGCATGATAAAGAAATGATAATCCATTCATTTTAAAATATGAAAATATGCTCTAAGCTGCTTCTGCAGATATTAGTTGGTTTTTGACACTTCACTTACCAAAACATGCGCGCACACACACGCACACACCCACACCCACACCCAAAAGATGCAATGTCATTAGTAAGTGGATAAAAAACTACTGACTAGTAAAGCTAAGAATGGTTATTAACACAAAGCTTAAAAAATACTTTTTAGCAAGTGTCTACTGATAAGTTACTGATAAAATAATGATATTTCAAGTCTGTTGTATTTGGTAAGATTATGGGGGGTGGTTCTTTTTTTCACCCCTCTTGCTCCTCTCTCAATTACAGTTCCAGCTTTACTCTGCCAGCACCAAGGTGAAGTGTGATTGGATTGCTTTTTGCTGGCAAACTTCAGCTGGAATGGGAGATATTCCCAGACAGCCATGGAGTTTTGAAGGGTGTCAACATTTCATATGGAAGACTTTCAAGTTTTTAAACAAGGCATTTAAAAAGATTCTGACAAAAACTAATGAATCTTGAATTGCTTGATTAAAACTCCCCTCTCCTTTGGTTGTGATATCCTAGCTCCTAGTGCAAGGCATTCTCTAGTAGTTCTCCTGGAAGTCTGACTTGGTGTTATATAGGAAGATTTCTTACAGTATGAATTCTACAGGATTAGGATAGATGATGGAACATATTGCTAGCTCTAAATAGTAAAAGTAAGGGTCATAGTGGTATTTTATTTCCAGATTTTAGATGTTAAACTAGACATGAGTGAAGTAAGCAATGTCAGGAGAGGTTTTTTTTTTTTTTTTTTTTTTTTTTTGTAACAAGACAAAACCCCAAATGCAAACCTGTCTTTACAGGGAGAAATACTGGATAACCAAAAAACGTAAAGATATAGGATATAAAAAAAGGGAGAAGATGATTATGTAGTCACAGGGAAATCTAATAAAGTATATTATAGAGAGGGAAGACTGAGACCCAAACTGGCAAGAATGCAATGGAAGAAGAATTGAGAAAATCAGAGGACTTGCTGCTTTAACTGCAGTTATTTTGGCTAAAAATTATTTATCTAAACCCATCATGTTGTATATTACAATGGGTGATTTATAAACCTATCTTACACAAAGGGTATCCTCAGGAGCTTGATAGGTATAGGGTAGTTTACATAGCAGGAGCAATCATCTATTTAGACTTCCTCTGCAGTAGCTACTCAAGGTGTAAAGTCAGTGTGGTAAACCAAAGCTTATAGAATCCCTCCTCTTTAATGTATTTATTTGGTTTGGTTTTTTTCCCCTAAGGTTTCTCCTGGGCAACTTACAAAAAAATACAGCTCATGCTCAACAATATTTATAGATGACAGCACCGTCAGTCAACCTAACCTTAGAAGCACAATAAAGTGGTAAGAACCATTTCAACATCAGCAAGGGACTGAGTGGCATTGCAAAGTTTATTTGGGATTTGGGGTGGTCTTGTCTGTTCCAGTTGCACACTTGAATAAGAAGAGCACAGTGCACCTTATTGAGGTTGTTCATGGAAGAGGTGTAGAGGTCTGGTTAATTATGACTGCTGAAGCAAGCTTTTTTTCTTAGTTACAGAGCTAATGCACTGTTGTATTTCGAAGTAGTTATCATTGTGGACTTGAGAACCTGAGGCAGTGCAAAAACGTGTCAGCATTTTCAGTTTAAAAGGTGTGTTTGGGTGGGAAGCTCAAAGGCTTCACATTGAAAGCCAAATGCAGACACTCAGTCTGGGAAAACTTGAAATGGATTTTGTATGAAGTTGCAGGAAGTTTGCAGGACGGTGTTTGCTACTTGTCAGTGGTATTAGTCTGCCCTCTACTTGTGGATAACAGTATGTTGCTGGCTTTGGGTTTAGTTATAGCCTTTCTACTTTTTCTTCATGTGTTTGTCACATTAAGTTAGGTGGGTTTGATAATTAGTCATCTTGGTTCTTCAGTGGAAATGGCTGTTTGACCTATTGTTCTGGGTACCACAGAGACAATTCTTTGTGTATAGATGATGCCAGCTAAGAATTAACTGCTTGAAGGGGAAGGAAGGCAAAGTAGCTTCAGGCCTAGAAGGCTTTAACAGTTCAGTAGAAATGTCTAAGTTGAATAATAATTTTTAAATTTGGTTTCCAACAAAGATATCTAGCATGTCACTCATCCTTTTGTAGAGAAGAAAGAACCTAAAAGGTGGTGCTTGTCCGTTTTGAAGTGGTGTACAGACCAGAGCTTGGCTGTGATGGATTCCTCTGATGGCAGTATTCCTGTTCTCACTGCCAGTAAAAGTATCTGATATTTGGCCACAGTAGATGAGTGTCAATATGAACTCCATCGCTTTGCTTGACTTAGCAGAGACCAAGATCTGTTCTTGTCCTCTTCTTGGATTATGCTGGCATAATATCTTTATTATTCTCTTTTTTTTAGATAAATCCTAAATTAGACAGCCAGAGATAGTTAAAACACCAGCAGAATCTCTACAACAGTATATGTAACATCAAGTCAAACTTTTATTACATTTTAGTTGTGAATAGTCCACATTTTCAATATATGTCACCTAATCAGGCAATGAAGGTGTGTGTTTAAAATGTAGCATAACATTTATTTTGTGGTGCAAATATCTGTACAATGAATGTAAAAGTACTTTGGCTAGCAAATTTGATTTGGCCAGTTTCTGTTCAGGCAGGTAAACATCAGAAATGAGACACAAAGTACTTGAGAATGTGAAAGGAATCCAATACATGATGGATTCTGAACATTTTGCCCCGAACAATGGCTTTTGCGGTGGAATAGTGTGTACAGAATATGCTTTAAGTCTTTTTTTTTCTTTCTCTTTTTTAGTGTAACATTAGCAATATTCTACCATATAAAGAACAGGTGAGTGAACTTGTTTTTGCTGAAATATAACAACTTTCTTTTTGAGCCAGGACTATGGTCTTGGTGACTTCAATAGCAGCTAGTATAACTTAAAGGAGTTGAAAAATCTGGCACTTTATGCTGTATCTGCTTCCTCTCTTTGTACCCTCTCTTGAGCTGATACAGAAGGGTCAGTAATACACCCATCCAGTGGTGCAGGCTTCATCAAGAATGAAGTATAAAAAGTCAAAACAAAGGGTGTGAGGAAAATACACTTAACTCACCACAAATCAGCCTTTGGGCTTTGTTTAGCTTTTCCTGAATACAGAGGTCCAGATTAGTTTTGAAGGAACACTTTGTCCCATGTACAAATAACCCTTGCCATTACAGCTAGTTACAGCATATGCTTCAAAATTACAGCTGTCTTTTTGAAATGAACACTATTAATTGAGACAGTTTCACACTTTGAGAACTGTACTAAGCATAATATGAGAACATGGATAGCTATTCATAATTTCTTAAATAGTTGTATGATGTCATGATTAAATGCTTTGCAAAAATACAACGTAACTTCATACCATATTCTAGGAAAAGCTGAACTGTAAAATATGTCCCTTTCTCCTCTTTAATCAGTAATACTTTTTAGTAGAGCATAGCATTGCCAATTAACTCTCGTTGCTAAAACAGACATCTTTCCTTTGTAGAGATTCTGACAGATCATTGGATATTTTTGATGAAAAATCTCATCCTCTTACAGTAAGTGTAACTTTTGATCTTCTGAATGTACGTGAATATACATCCTTTCTAAACATCTTGATTTGTATTGTATAAGTCATAAAAATGTCTTAGCATCAGGTCACAAGCAAATTGATCTTAAATTATATCTTTATATTTAAAATACAGTGAAAAGAGTGTCCTCTAGGCTTTTGATACCAGCTAGATCATGAACAGAACCCAGTCTTTCTAAGTGCTGCAAGTGTGATTGGTTTTCTATGCTTTGAATATAAATAGAAAACAAGCATGTGCTAATTCTTGCATATTTTGTATTGAAACTTTTTTGCCTGACCCCTTTTTTCCTCTATGTAACATTAATTAAAATTGTCTTTCCTATTTATTTAGGAAGATGTGGTTAGTAGATATGTGCCTAACCTTTTAAGTGACTGGAAACAGGAGAACATAGTACATGAAGCATGACACAAAGTAGGAGACACTGAATTTGGTCTTTAAAATTCCTGAAAGGCAAAATTTTAAAGCAGATATGCTTAATGCTGCTTGCAGGAGCATTCAGCATGTGATTTTAATGTGACTGGTCTTGGTACACCTTTTCAGACAGTCTTTTAAGATGCAAAACCTTCATAGTAGGCAAGCTCAAGAGTAGAGTGTGTGCTTTTTATGTCCAGTTTGAACACTACAAGCTTAATGACTGTCCTACAGAACTACTTTGTGTTTCATTTGAAATTAATTTATCAAAGCTCTAATGGCCTTAATAATTCAGTTTGCTCTGGGACCTACCTCAGTGAACACAGCGTAATCAATCTCACAGATTTGGATTGTTAATAAACAGTTTTTAATATACAATTAAATGTAAGTTTGTTAGAATTTCATCCCTAAACATGATCAGCTGTGCTATTGTACACTTGAATAAATACAACTCTTTATACAATGAAAATAATGAACTTCAGGAGAAGAGCTGTGTAGATGATTTCTTGTCTGGACTATGGCACTTCAAGAGAAAAGTCTGGTCCAAAACTATTTTAACTGCCTGAATCTGTTGTTTCACATGGAAAATTATTTATGTGAGATGAACTCCACTTCATCAGACAATTTATTTTCTTTATTTAGCAAGCTGACATCTTTTGATCCTTTCATATAGCCTACCTCCTATTTAATGAGTAGAGGAAAATCATTGTGTCCTTTAGGGAACACTTAAAGGTCTCTTCTATCTTACTGCAGTATACAGACAGAAATATAGTAATGGCTGTATGTCATCCTTCAGAGGGGAAAGATACAAATGACTTGTTAGTTTCTGTAGCACTGAGGTTTTGACTGGGTACTTATAGTTCCTTTGAAAAGGTTAATTAGCTGGAAGAAATCTCTGAATACTTTGTCCTAGAGATTCAGTCACAAGGAGTCCAGATCCAGGCTCTGTTGACCCTAGTAGCAGAGGTAACAAACTTCAAGTTACCGTTATTGCAGTGCTTAGTCACAAATACCAGTGTCAGTCCTTTCCTCCTCAGTTCCAGTCAGCAAAAATGTACTTCCACATGTGCTTTTGTACTGCTTGTAGCGCAGGAATCCTGCAAGGGGGATCCTGCTCATGTTACTTGTAATGCTGCATGCCCACCCTGAAGAGTAACCTCCATTGGTTAGTGGTGTATTAGAAGGCTATGTGGAGAGTACAAAGTTAACTTACCTCTTCATTTTACTTGACGTTGTTACATGGCTATTTTAAACTACAAAACCATGTGAAAATGCTTGCTGCTTTGCTTACTATGACTACTTGTTTAATATCAAGCTATGCTGTTCTCATCTGGTATCTTTACTGTACTATAGGTCTAACTTGGACTGTAGATAGAAACCTGTTCAGTAGCAGTCTAGCAGAACCAGTGTGTAAAGTTGGAGCTCTTAAAGGTTCACTCCTCCAGGAGGAGACATCAGAATGTCTGGGGGGACAGGGTCAGAATTCTCAAACACTCATTTTAGGATTGCTTTTAAAGATTTTATTTCTAAGCTTTTATTTTCCCCATATTTAGAAACAGTTTAGCATTTTAGCACCATGTCAAAGTTAAATCTAGCTGTTCATTAGCTTTGCTGTCTTTTTGGAATCTCTCAAGAACAAGTCCTGTGAAGACAGGGTAAGTTACCTTCCAGTTGTACCTGTGGCAGAATTACTGACATGTATTCTTCAGCTCTTCCTCAGCTTGAAGGGGAGTCTTGTGAAGTCTCCTAATTCTGCCTTTTGAAGAGTCAGTGCTTCTGTGGTGTATATATATCTGTGTGTTTTTGTGGGTTTTTTTTGAAGGGGGAAGCCTTTTTTTTGAAAAAAAAAATCTCTTTTAGTCTGTAAAATGTTCCACAGACAATAGTTAGCACCTGTAATAATGATGGTAGTTCATGCTCTTTCCTATTAGCCTTAGAGATCAAAAGTGTTCAAAGATACCAGCTAAAGCTATTGTGTTTTGTTTGAAATATTCATAATATTGCAAGGCTGCTTTACTGCTTTCAGTTCTTGAAATCTTGTTCTGTCCCTGTGACAGGGAAGGGTTGTATACACTTCTGCTCAGTAAGAAGAAACAACCATGTGTGGCTGTTCTTTAAAGTCAATATTAAGTAAGACATTTTCAGTAATTCAGAGAACTTTCTTGCAGCGGGAAGAAGTTCCAGATGACTACTACAAGCATGACCCTGATCACAAGCACATCTACCGGTTTGTTCGAACGCTTTTCAGTGCTGCACAGCTGACAGCTGAATGTGCAATAGTGACACTGGTAAGAGATGCTTGATTACTGAAACTTGAGTGTTTGGAATGCTTTTTTTTTTTTTTTTCTCCCCTCCACAAGTGAACTGGGCTGAACTGACACTTAGTTGCAGTGTATCATGAAACCTTGTTAATAATGAAGACACTGTATGAGCAAATTCATTGGAGAAGATTTCTAGGTAGTCACAGGTATAGTTAACTAAAAAGGAACTTACCTGTTCTGTATACAAATATGTAATGCTTAATTACTTGTTCAGTCAAACATTGTTTCATAATATATAACTAGCTGAAGAAGCTTGAGAAAGGCAGAACAGTAGGGCACCATAAACAGTGGGTTATAAGGTGGTTAGACACAAAGACATCTTTTATTTCAGCTGTATGGAGGGGAAAGTGGGAGTTTTGAGTCGACATTAACGAGAACAGTGCAAGTAATACCACCTTAGGGGTTAAGGATCAATACTGTAGGAATTCCAGGAGATTAACTTTCTCATTATTATGTCCTTCAGTCATTGCCACCTTTCTGTCAAACCTTTTTTTTCATTAAACCAAAGAGGCTACAACTTTTTTCCCCAGGTGACATGAACTTGGTACTTAAGAACAATAGTAAGAAAAAAAATACTCGTTACAGTTTGTTGCTTGATTTCAGAAAGTAAGATGGATATAAACAACTGACTGATACAGATTACTTTATACATACACATGCATATGCATGTATATACACATATGTATTATGAAGAGAAAGAAAAAAAACCCCACAATTGATGCATTAGACAATCTCTTACACTGCACTTTGTTGCATACTAGACTTCTGTCTTCATTGTGGCTTCTTTCTGAAAAACAGTCTGAAAGGAGAACAGAAGAGAACTGTCACCCCAAAACAATGTGGCAATTAAGCAAACTCAGCTTGAAGGCCTCCCTTTTAATAAGGAAATAATTAAAAGGGCCAGATAGTTAGAGGTATTGAAACTCAGAAAGTAGTTTGACGTTTTTGCTGTTCTAAAGACACACAACCAATTTTGACAGAATAAGATGATAGCTAACCATGGGCAATATAGCCAGCTTTTTTCAAAAAACAGGAACAGTTAGTTTTTAAAGTGAATTTTACCACTAGATGGCTCTGTTATTACAGGAACACCTCTAGTCCACTTGAAGACTACAAGCAAAGGATGGGAAGGAAGTGTGAGAAACCCTAGTAATAAAGCTCGATCCTGCCCTTAGACATGTACAACAGCTTCTTGCACCCACTAGTTTATCTGAGGTTTCATTTGGACCTTGGACTTAGTTTAGGGAATAGAACATTATAAACAATCTGTATTCAAATTTGAAAGCGCAAATTACATGGATCATTATTGGAGTATGAAATAGCAGAAGACTTAAAGAATGGACTGATTCAACATCTTAGGGCTGATTTTGACATTACATGAGTGGAATGAGTAAAAGACCAAGATGCATCTTTGGACTTGGGTATCTTTCACTATCTAAGCAGTTGGTGATGTAGATGAAAGCAGAGGATGATGATGTAGGTGAAGGACTGAAGCCTGTTCTTTACAGGGTGAAGCAGAAGTAGCACTATTAAAGCTTTTTGTTGTGGAAAGATAGCAATTAATGCATCTTAGTCCCACGACTAGAGATCACAGTGCAGGTTTTAGCACTTCCTGTTAAGCTGCGAGTTCTGAACCTTCACTGTGATGAAAGGCTAGCGTGATGTCGAGTGATTACTACCCCAGATAGGCCTTAGTGAGAACCCCTTGGTGACTGTGTGGCTCCGTGACAGAAAGAACTCTAGCAGCATCTCCCTGAAACAGCAGTGCTCATTGCTCAGAGAGGATTCTTCAGTACCTTTATTGTATACCTTGGTGGTCCAGTTCTTGTGTTATAATAAAAAATGGAACCTGTAATGCCTGAAAGTTTGAATTCTAAAGTGTAAGTAGTAATCACTGATACTTATTTTGACACACACTTAACGGTAGTGGGATAAAGTAGTCGTATTGGACTGGCATGCTTGCTGCTCAGAACTCAGCTCCAGGTCTTAATTGCACACATAAACTGTTTGGGTTTTTTTTTCTTTTTTATAGGTTTATTTGGAAAGGCTTTTAACCTATGCAGAGATTGACATATGCCCTAGTAACTGGAAGAGGATAGTCCTAGGAGCTATTCTGCTGGCTTCTAAAGTCTGGGATGATCAGGCTGTGTGGAATGTGGATTATTGCCAAATATTGAAGGACATTACTGTTGAGGACATGTAAGTTGCAAGGTTTGGCTAATCTGCAGTGGTGGGGGTTTTCTGGGTTTTGGGTTTTTTTTTTAATGGCAATTTTTGTGATCATACTGAAAAAAATACCTCTCTGCTATGATAATGTGCATGATGCATATCTGGTGTCCAGCCTCATTCCTTTTTTTAACCTAGGGAACTTTGAATAACTTTACTTTGATTCAAATCTATATTAATATTTCTAATAACTTTGGTGAGTAACTTCTAAGTTAGTTTTCTTTACCTGCTGTCCCCCAGTGATGAACCATGGGACTGGGTACTTGTTTCCACTAATTTTTTGCATTGGAGTGACTCTAAAGTGCCCAATTTATAGTCTTATCAAAAGTCTTTTTGGGGGACAAAAAAAAAAGTGAACTAAATTTGTTCTCTGCCTTTTCTGTTTTAGAATTTGAAAAATTGCAGGGTAAGCCATAACTTGTGACTTACGTGTCTGCTCTTGTATCCATCTAAGGCCTAAATATCTCAAGGTCTGAATTCCTAGCTGCTGCTGCTGCTGGCAGACAGGTGTCATTTGTGTTGGTATATGTGGTTGCATGTGTTACATCCAGCTACTGCTATGGCTCATCCTCTTTGGGTGAGTTCTTAGACTTGCCTACAGGGCTGATCCTCAGTCTTACTACTGGTTGTTTATGTTCCTTGTATATATTCTTGTCTCAGATGTAGATTTCAGTTCTGCAGAAATTTTGAATCTGCTGTCTTTTCTTGGTGCGCTCAGTTTAAGCCCTACAGTTTCTGAGGATGTTCATCCTCATGGCTCCAGGCTCATACTACGGGCTGGAGGTGTGTTTATTTGGCCCATTAGATTTTCTGTTAAATTCCTTCTCGCAAAGTTTTATCTTTGAGAGCTTTGAGATGTCAGTGTGATTGTTTTAATTCTATTTGCCAGCTGGTTCCTCTTTCCCTTATCACAGTGATAGAAATGCTAGAAGGGTAGCTTCGTATCAGGCTTTTTGGCCTTAATAACTTGATGACACATTTTATGTGTGTTTGAGTTTTATCACACTGCTGTGCTGTAATTGAGCATGTATCCAGACCTATGTAGTAACAGTTCTAGTACAGGAGCAGACTGAGGTGGTAGAAGTTTGCACACAGCAGTGGGAGGCAACCTGGGGAGAGTCTGTTCCTGCTCCCAGCTCTCTTCCTTGGATTCAGCCTAAAGCTACTGTTTAAAATACAGTAAGTCATTATTTATCTGGGATGCTTTAAGAGGAGGAATATCCCATTTTCTTCCTTTAAGTTGGGGGTGGCATTTCTAAAAGTGGGTGAGTTACCCGCATCAAAACAGTTGGTTATTAAAGTTATTTCACATTGCAAACAGCAACAGCCAACATAGTACCCTGTTTTATACACACCCCTTGCCTGGGAGTTCTTTGTCTCCCAGGAAAGCATAATTAGTGATTTTTTTATAATGTACATCTTCATTCAGCCTGGCTCAGAGTGCTCAGCTATCCGAGAAACACACTTGAAGCATTGCTGCAAATAACTCTGAGATGGCTGAAGTGGGGTCAGCAATGCTAGGAGTGCTGGAGTATACATCTTGCTCTTTTTGATGTCTCTTCTTCTGGCCCTATTTGGGACAAATCAAATTGATAGCACTGAAAATATCCGTAACAAAGCAAGACGTTTATTCTCTATTGCTGATGCCAGATCTCCTGAAATTGTAAATACTTAGATTTTCAAAGCAGTGATGGTGGTAAGGAAAATAGACTGAATTTAGGCTTATTTTTTCCTCCCATTTCAAGATGGGATTTTTGTGATCCCATCTCATCTGAAGTGACTTAGACCTTTGAATTTAGGTGTGGGCAGAAATTGTACAACCCTTTTCTGACAATGCCCCAAGGGTGTCCATCACAGTCCCCGCACTGCTGCAACTGGGCAGACTTCACTGCTCTGCGTTAGATAACATCACCATAACTGGGACCTTGGAAAACTGCTTAAAATACTTGGCAAAACTGAGTTTTAAGCTTATAAGTCTAATTCAATTAATAGCTGGTACTACAGTTAATTGTCAGCTTTAGTAGTTCCAGTATTTTTTTTTAACTAGTCACTTGGTGAATATTAGGTATTCTGAATACAAGTGTTACTGAGAGAAAGCAATTGGCAAAGGATTTCAGGCATGGTTGCATTCTAATGTTGGAGACAGTAATGCTGCCAAAAAATCCACCCAACACCCCAGCAGCTCCCCAGCTGACGATTGCTTGGCAGGACTGTGCCAGGTATCGGTCCCTGGGTGGGCCATTCCTGTGCAGTAAAGGCCTGTCTACAAGGACTGGTGGCAAGTTTTGTTCATGAACTTCCTGTGAATTTTCCTCTTGGCTCTACCTATCTAGAGTGATCTCACTAATTTGATGGATACTCTTGTTGAGCCACTGCAAGTCAAGCATGGGAGTTACACCACTCTGACTGGTGTAGTTCACCCAATTTGCAAAACTGTGTGTGCACGTGTGTATATATGTACAAGCCAGGCAGCTCTTCTGAAGGTGCCTGTAGGTGTACCTTGTCCCCACCCTCACACTCTGCTCACTGCTTGAAGACACTCGTTTGGCAGCCCCACCTCACAGCTCTGTTGGCAGTGTGAGCTGTTGGCTCTCACAGAAACTGCTAGTGGGTTAAAGTTGCTTTAAGGATACGTGGTCCAGGCCTTGCGACTGGCAGGTGAGTTCATTTGCCTTAGCCTCTTCCTACTCACTGTAGGGAAAGCATTCATCTTATTTTTTCTATCACAAGCCTTTTCTTATTTGACCAAAGCAAAGGTGGGTTTTTTACTGAAAGGGAATTTTCTTTTGGTTTGGGGGGGTGGGGTGGGTGATTTTTGGGCGGTTGTTGTACTTATTTCTAATGTGGAAAAAATCAAAGGAAATTAAATTGATATTTGGAAGTCATCCTTTGTCAAAACATGCTTGCTTTGATGAGAGTGAATCCATAATCACTGAAAATTTAACTGTGCAGCTGCTAATCTTGCTATGATTGCTTGTAAGGGGACACATGCTGTTCATTCTTTTGGCTACATATATTTGTAAATAAGGCACAGGAACACACGGGCATTATCCTTTCCCAGGTTTTAAACCACTCTTAATAGACTTGTTAATCCAATGAAGAAGTGTATTTTTACACAATTAAAATGTATTAGCCTAGTGAGTACAAAAGGGGCAGTGAAGAGCATTTATTCACAGGGTAAATCAAGCTCTGATCAGCTGATCATCAAAACATTATCTGATTTACATTTCTATAGGCTTATGACCATATGAACAGGAAATTAATTTTGGCACTAGGTTCAATGATACTCAAGTCCACTATGCTAGAAACGAGCACAAAGCTGCTATTCATGTTGAGACCCACCGTCCAATACAGGACACAACCTGGATGATTCCTTGATTTAATTTCCCCCCCTCTGACAGGTAAAACATCCATTTTAAAAGCTCCCAAAAAGCAAGAACAGCCTTAGTACTGAATCTGTGCAACTTACCTTCTGGTGTATTCACAGTTGGCCTGTACAGCTGCTAAATTCTGTTGAGACAGGTCTGCTACCAGTAGGAACAATCATTGAGTTAGCGTTGGACAGACTGAATTGCTTGGCTTGGGTACCACCAGTTTCTTTTAGGTCAATTTGTAACGCGTTTTTTTTCCTCTGTAGAACATCTCTGAACTAGCTGACCACAGTACAGTAGCTGAAGCGGCCTTTTTCATGTCATGGCACTCTCCCCACTTTCCTCCCAATATTTTGCCCTGTGAAAATAGAGGAGTGAGTGAAAACTGGACAGTGCCCTTTGACATAGTACTTTGTTATCCTGCCTAATGCTATTGAGGGGAAAATTCCTTCTCCCACCTAATGCTGCTTATTTATTTATTTATTGGAGATGAATCCATGTTGCTTCAAGAGGCTTTTTTTCTGTGAGATAATAGCAGCAGCTCTTCATAGATCCATTTGTTGCCGTGGTGATCTGCCTACTCCTTTTGTTAGTTGGCCTCTACTTCAATAAACCCCCTTCCTGTTATCAGCCTGGTGAAAATGTCTGCAAGTTCTTCAGAGCTAATAAACAGCATACATCATTCCTTTCATCTGATCACTATAGTGTGGGGCCGTAGGAGAGTGAGAATGGCGCGTGAATTGTACAGCTGCACTAATGGAACTCCGAAGAATGAACCTCCCCAGTCAGCCGGGCGAGTGCACGACAGGGCACTACCTTTCTCTCTGAGCCGGAGGTGCCAGGACTCAAAAGCTGCACCTTGTTTTGAGCACTAGTGAATGACTTGTCTCTCGAAACTAATAATGCAGAGCTCTCAATGACTGTTTCAGAGTTGCTGGTTTTAAAAACAAGCTTGAGGTCTCTTCAGTGTTTTCAGCCACCTAAAACAATCTTTTTTTCCTTTGTCTTCTGTCCCTTATGCCTCCTAGGAACGAGATGGAAAGACACTTCTTGGAGCTACTGCAGTTTAATATCAATGTTCCTGCCAGTGTTTACGCCAAATACTACTTCGATCTTCGCTCCCTAGCAGATGACAATAACCTGAGCTTTCTGCTGGAGCCTCTCAGTAAAGAGAGAGCACAGAAACTGGAGGTAATGGTCTGAGATTGTCTCTATGTGTAGTAAGAGCATCTGTTGCTAATCATGTTAACTGCTGGTTAGAAAAACTAAGAAGCTTTTATATTAGTGTATTCCAGGCTAATTTAACCCCTTTATAACTACAGTTAGCACTTCTAAAACTATGCCTAGGCTAAACTAGTGTTCTAAGGAAAGGAAGGGACAGAGATTACGCAAGTCTAGCAGTTCACAAAATAAAATGGATGTTATTTTGGGAACCCTAGCTCAGCTAGGCTACTTAAGATTGAAAAGATTAGTGTCATATGTAATGGATTGTCTGTCCTTCCCTGGTCACAGTCTGTATTCCAAGCACCTAGAGACAGTCACACTCAGACCTTTCTAAATACTACCAGCTGAAGGTTTCCCACTGCATCCCACTGCACAGCTGCTTTTTAGATTTAGAGGGAGCACTCTTACTGCTCTCATGCTTTAATAAACCATTTGTCTGGGGACAGCTGCAGAAATAATATGTTTCTTTTCTCAAGTTTTAGAACCTCACGTTTTCAAAGAAACTTTGCTTTAAGATAAACTTTTGGAATAGCCACTTCTTAGGAGTCCTTAAGAATGTCCAGAGGAGGGTAAATACAGATTTCTGGTCCTTTCTGCTCCATGGGAAAGGCTGCCTTTCTGCAAGTCCCTGCAGCCTTCTTTGGTATGAAGGCTCATTTTACAAAACTCGAATTTTTGCAGAGTCAGTCTTCCTAGTTGCTGGCGATATGCAAGACATTTTGAAAATATCTAAATTACCTGGGTTCCCAGGCAAAATTTCTTGTTGGATCAATGCAACCTTTCATCTGTCCAGGTTTAATTGATGACTCTGCATGTTGTTTTGTTGACCTTTCAACAAAGGCGTTACCGCAGGCCCTGTGTACACTGATACCATAGCCCCTTTCAAAGAGGGGTGTGCTACGGTATTCTTGGCTTATATTGTTCTGTTGTCCGCCCCCAATAATTCTGCTAAGTGCCAGCTTTTTATTTCATCCCAGAAGTGGCTGAACTTCGGGAATAAGTGTGATCCCTCCTGGTCCTTTGGAATGATAGGTATGATATGCCAGCGAATTCCTCTATTTAAAGTTAAGCAATGCAAATCTTCTGCTTTGTCTCACCCTTGTTACTTGCACTTTAAGCTAACACTGTCACTAATTGTAAATGTGGTCGTAGGGCAGTTCATATTCCACAGGAAATTGTTTACTGAACTGCTCAGTGCCCAGGCATAAGTGGATGATTTACAGATTGTGAGCCTGTTTTGTTTCTTCTTTGCTAGCATTCAGGGGCTTGGTATTTAAAACCAGAGTAATTTTCAGTACAGTATGTGATTTGCCATAATGCACTTACTAATGCATGTATTACAAGATATTTTGATTTTAATTCCAAAACGTGGTAAATATTTAAACCATTTGCTCAAATTTTTAATTCTACCTTTTGGTTAGAAGCACATGAGCAGTTCATAGGAGCCTGTATGAAGCACTGAATTAGTATTCCAGGGATTGAAAACTGATTTACACCATATGGGCGACTGGAGCTAAATGTGTCAACACAGGTTGCTTTATGATTGATGTGCTAGCATTAAAACAGGATGGAGAGCCTGGGCTTGCTCTGGGAGCTCATGCAGCCAGTGTCTCAAAGAATGCCACTCTTGAGCCAAATGCATGCCTCCAGAAGGTCGGCAGAAATAAATGTAAATAATTATTTTAAAATACACTTAGAAGTTTATTCATGCTCAGAGTGCTTTTCACCTTTTGAACTTCCAGAACACTGGGCTGTGCTGAATGGGTGCTGCCTTAAAGGGAAGGTGTAGGCTTATAGCTGATCACAGGACTGTGAAAGTTCATCTGGTGATAGGTGGTAAATTATTAATAGAAGTAAATGTTCATGACTGAAATTCATTTCAGCCTTTTATTACAGGTATCCTTCCTTATTTATTTGCATTGATAATGCATATTTGCATTGATATTTGCATTGATAATGCCTGAAAGCTCCAATCAGGAATAGGCCTTGCAGGAGAGGACACGCAGTGTTTTCTGGATAACCATGTGTTATTAGGATTTAAATAATTAGGTCTGTTACTAGAATAGCTGCACCAGAGTAAAGGCTGCTTGACTAGCTAGAGAAGCAGAGACAAGCCAATAAATGGCTGAAAAAGCAGTTAAATACTAAGTTGCCCAGACGTGCTGATATCTAATAGCTGTATTAAAGTGCCACAGCTATTGCCATTCCATTGAGCAGTGGGCTGCCCTCCCTTCTCGGGCCTCTTCAGGAACCTGATTGTATGAGTGATCCCGGGAGGAGCATGCTGGGGGTGAGGGTGTAGAGAAGGTAAAAGCAAAAGGGATGTCCTAGTAGAATTTCATTTCCTAGGCTCTCTTGCACTGAGTGGCCAAGGACAAGGTGCCTGAGGGAGTGCAGAAATCTTTTCAGTTTGAACCTTTTCTGTCATAGAAATGGCTGTGTGCATGTACTGTTAAAATAAAATTTTTGTGCTGTTGCATGTACCAGACCTATCTACTAGGTGCAATTTTGAACATAATATCCACCAACTCCCAAGTCTGAAATGGATCCAAGCTTTCCATTAGGTAGTGAGACTGGTAAAGGACTGAAGATACTTGGATATGGAAACCACTCACATTCTATGTCTTACTTTCCCATGGAGAGGGTTCTTGTTAGCATGGGGACAGGCCCCTTTAGTATTTTCCCTCCAAAGTAGTTCTTACTCTCATTCTAGGTAGAAATGCTAGTAGTGTCGCTGCTACAGAGTGCCTGCTCTGTCAGTATTACACTTGTAAAAGCTCCCTTGAAATGCTCGAACTTTTCTGATTTGTACTTTTCATTTTGTATCTAAACATGTTCTCCAGGCTATCTCCCGTCTGTGTGAAGACAAATACAAAGACTTGTCAAAAGCTGCTATGAGACGATCTTTCAGTGCTGATAACTTAGTTGGTATCCGCCGTTCTAATGCCATCCTCTCCTGAGGAGAGAGAAAGGTGCAGCACCGTGAGCCAGCGTCCACATGAACCGGAGGAATGCCACCACTCCACGCACACAAGCCAGCGGTGATGGTGTCTTCCAGCCAGGAGGAGAGGAGGGTAAAGTAGCCAAGGAAGCCCAGAGCTTGAGGAGCACGCTTGGTGCAAAAGACAAGACCTTTGTCACATCGACTCTCTCCTCCTAATGTATCCAGAGGTGCAAAAACAAACTTCTCTCCTTCTCTCCCCCACAGATGTTTGCTTACTATGTAGGCCTATAGCTGTGAACTCTTACGGTTTTTAATAATAAGTAGTTTTAAATTTTAGAATTTAAACACTAACCACATGACTATAGTTACAATGTTCTTCCCTCCTCTCCCCTGTTATCCAGAGTCTCGCTGCATTTGTATTTCAGTACCGATGCAGTGTTAACAAAAACAAAACAAAACATGGGACTCCTAAAGTACAAAGCCACTCTGGAGCTGAAAACAGTAGCATAGACATGTGTTGACAGTTTTTCCCCGGTTTGGCTACTAAAAGCTGCTATTATTGGTGATCTGTTCATAATCAAGAAGCTGCCCAGCAGAAAGGAATTCCAACTCTGCACCCACAACTTCACTCCAATAGAGATTGTCAAAAGACTGAATGTTTTGACTGGGGGCAGAGATGTGATTTTATGTATTGTTAAAATGTATAGGGTCCATGCTGCATTTCTTGTGAATTATGGTGCTTCTCTCATTTTCTAATACTTATATTGCTCTGGAAGAGACGCAATCTGTATATTTTTCTGAGGTATTGAATGAGAAAGTTGGTCTGGAAACATCATCACCATCCCAAACAGTGTAGCAATCCAGTGGTGAGTGGCGTGTGTGCGGCACTGCTTCTCTGAGTTCTACTGCAAATCTCTTGTGCTATATACAGTGGAGTTCCTAAAGCTGATGTTGTGCATCCATCTGGCTCTCCTTGGGTGTTTGTTTCCTGGGAGGGGTTTACATTCATAGTGAGACAGTAATGAATTTGAGAATCCTGGACTACCTAACCAGGTAGATTGAAAAATGTCATGTTCAATTGAGAATTATCAAAAAGCTTTCCAGAGACATATCCCCCCCCCCTCCTTTTTTTTTACTGCTCTAGAAGCTTGGGTTTTGCTCTTTCTGAGACTTTGGAATGGAGCTTACTTTCAGGGTCTGAAACTGAACTCTAAACAGGATAAGTATTATTAGACTCTTCCTGTTACAAGTCTTTGTTGTATCTTCCCTTCTTGGATCCAAACAGATTCTAGGTGGTTTGTCCTAGGAGCAGATCTCCCTCTGAATGGCACGGGTTTTGTGCACTTCCTCTTCCAGCCAAGGCCCAGACACACTGAATAGCAAGTCCATGTGCCTTTGAGAGTGGGGCTGCCTGAGTGTCCTCATCAGTTTGGCTGCACTCAACTGTTAAAATGATGCATACAGTCTTTTCCAGTATGCAGATATGCCAGCCCCTGGCTCCCAAACCCATGGAACTTGGCATTTCAGGTATTGATCACAATTCAATTTTGAAAATAATGCTACGTCTTCAGGTGGTTTTCCTTTCTCATGTTTGTATTAAAAGAAAAGCTAATAAACTCTATTTTAATTAAATTTAAAGGTGAATTGTGTGTTCTGTACAGCTGTCTGATTTCATTTCCCATCACGAGTATGTGGTGCTGTGCAGCTTCTCTCAAGTATGAAAAAAGAGAGAAAAAAACCCAGCGGTGTGTGTCAGGGTCCCTCCATTCCTGGTACCAGCTCTGAGCAGCCTGGAGGCATCGTGGGGCAGGGCCCTGGCAGCCTGCTTCACCTCAAAGCCTGGTACTGTCTTGTGTGGTGGCCTGGCTCTTCCCACCTGTCGTTTGGATTTAGAATTAAACTGGGCTACTCAAATGACTATTCCCTGACAGTTTCTTTGCACTGAAATGGCCTTTAATTAGGGCTTGTCTCTTTGGAGGCGAGTTGATGTTTTAAGTCCTCCCCTGAGAAGCACTAAATTGGAAGCTGTAAGTGACCAGCTCCTGGATTGACTTGTGACCCAACTGCTAAGGAGTTTTTTTTCCTTAGCACTGCCAGGTGCCTTCAACTTTGTGGAACTGGTCTGGATGCACTTTGCTGCAGGCTGGCACACGGCTTCTGCGAAGGCAGCCGTTCAGCTGCAAGGTGCTCAGCAGAAACTTGGGGCTGTCATTTACCTTTTTAGCCAAAAGAGATGGAGGCTCTTCCTGCTGGTCTGGATGGCAGGTGACTGACAGTGTGAGCCGATGGCTGTTTCTGCAATAGATCCTGCAGGAGACTGCTGCTCCAAAATTAATTTTGCTTTGAACCTTAACTGGTTTTAGTTTTATTGTAGCATAGCCCAGAGCACATTGCCAATAGGTTTTTTATCTGTTCAGAAGATGCTAAACAGGGTTCAACTACGACTCACCTTCTTAAGAGAGGAAAAATAGCAGTTCCACTTAATGTTTAATGTTCTGGTCCCCCTAAAAGAGTTAGATTTAGGAAAAAAACTGCTTGTGTATTTCTTAGGTAAATAAGTAAACAATACAGCTCTCTTTTGAAGGGATGAGCAGTGATAGTGTTTCAGAAGGAATTACATTTAGGTGGTTCTGCTGGAAGATGATCTGGGGGGTGAGGATATCCTGTAACTTTCACTATTATTTCTATGTTGGCAGCATGTTTCTCAAAAGGGCAGAAGAAAAATTACAATCATAGAATACTGGGTGTTACAGAGATTGTTACCTACCTCTGCTCCCAGGGAAGAGCCACCAGCTCCAGGATCAGGGTACCTTGTTCCTCTTAACCCAACAGCTGAATAATATTTGATCTACGTTGAGGTGACCTCTGCCTGCATTCGGTTCCAGGGCAGCACTCCCCATCTGGCAGTAAATATGGTTTGTAGAGACAATAGCTGTGTTGCGGCCCAGCAAGAATAATGTGAGGACCAGCAAGAACAACAGGAGCATCGTGTGTTAGAGGTCAGCAGGGGCAGGGAGTTGTGGATGTGTGTGTGGGCTACGTGCTGCCCTCAGGCTTCAGCAGCCCGTTCCCTTTGTGTACGGGAACTGTGTATTTTGTTTCTAAGGGAATTTTATGAGAACTACTTCAGTGTGGGTTTGGCAGTTAAGAGGACAGGCACTTCAGCGACGGAATAAATGTCAAGACCATCGCTTCTGGATAAGGGTAGAGGCATCAAGCAGCGGGCAGAAGAGCAATTGAGGCAAGAGCTTGCCCAGGGGGTTGGCAGGCGTGTGTGGTGCAGGGTGAGCTGAGGTGTTCAGAGCTCAGTGTGGGGCAGGCTCCTGGCCCCCTCCTGAGCTGGTATTTCCCACAGCACATTACACACGTTATCTGGGAAAACTACACTTGCACCAAATAAGTTGTTTGATATACAGTGAATTAGAGGGTGCTGCCAAAGTGCCTGTAGAGCACCTCCTAACCTGTCTCTTATACAC